GAACCACTAGAGGTAGTTTATACCTGTACTGGTGGACCCAGTTCTTGAGGAGGAGCATGAATAGTTAGTCGTGGGGGCAGTGGATGTGGAGGTCTGCGTGGTGACTGTGGGGGGCGAGGGGCCTGTCTCTCCGAGGCAGATGATGGCTGCTGTTCTCTTGAACTTTCATGAGGAAAAGTAGACTCCGCAGCACTTGTACTCCCTTCTCCTAAAACATACAGAAGTATAGAGGAGTAAACCCTCTCCAAACTAAGTTGAAAACATGAAGGTAACTCTTCAAATTCTGCTACCACATGAACATAGACATTTTTATCCTTGCAAGAGTGGGGACAGCTCAGTACTGTTATTTAAAATCACTTAAAAGAGGACTTGTGTCAGCTATGTCAACACCAGCACCGAAACAAACTATTGATTATTCAAGTGCTGATTTGGAGAGAGATTAATCTATTGAGCCATCAACAGCAGTTTCCTTAGCAAGCAGAGCTTGCAAGGTTTTCAAAGGAATATAGAATAAATCCAGAAAAGAACATTTCAAAATAATCTACATTTCAGGTTAAAATGGTCTTTAGCATTTTGCCTTATATTCTTACTTTCAAGTACATATTTTAATACATGCAAACCAGCTTCTACATTTTCCCCCCTTACAGACACAGACTTTGAAGAAACATGGAATAACCATACCACTGTTTTGAGAATCTGCTGCCCTCTGGTTGCTTTCCCCTCCTCCCATGCTTTCCTCAGTTTCTGTTCCAGGATCTGTACCATCAGCACCCTAAAAAGCCCCATATAATAAACAACTTATATGGTGTAAAGAGACTATAAAAGCAGTACAAAAGTGTTCAGAAACTAAACAAACTAAAATATATGAAAATCTTTACATATTTCTGTAAATATCTACAAAATCATGTAAATATATATAACTGTATGAAATTTCAGAAGTTTTGTATATCTGTACATACACAAATGTGAACAATGTAGCCATCATCTAGTCCAGTCTAGTAATAGACAATGAAATATCCAGCTTTTGAAGAAACTGCCTTACAAGCTTTGCAACTACAGTATTTGTCACTGGCTCCTGTACTTTGCATTTTCATTCAGCCCTCTATAACATTAGAAGTTGATTTTTCTTGTGAAAACACCTGTTACAACAGAAAATATTATCATCTACTAGCAGCCTCAATTTTCTGGAAGATTTTCTCTTTCAAGTGTTCGAATCTTTGCAGATGCATTACAACACCAATTTATTCCAAGAAATGTAACAGGCTGTAAAAAAAGCTACAAATCTTACCTCAGCATCATCTGCTTCATATCCATCATTACCATCAGCACTACCAGTTCCTTCATTACTGTCATCACCTTCATCTCCCATCCCTGTGTCTTCATCATCATCCTCGTCTTCCTCTTCCTCATCCTCATAGTCCTACAATAAGACCATAACAAAGCCTTAAGAAAGTGCAGAAAGGGTAGTGGAATAATTTCAAATCTTGAAGTGGTACACCGCTTTGTGGTACATAGACCAACTCTGTCTGTGGATGTCTTTCTGAAGATGTTCGGCATTTATTACCCACAGAGTACATGTATGTATTTTTTGATTGCTGTGGTAGGTTGACCTTGGTTGGCTGCCAGACACCCACCCAGCCACTCCCTCACTCCCTCTTCAACAGGACAAGGGTAGAAAATAAGATGGAAAAGCTTGAGGGTCAAGATAAAGGCAGGCAGATTGCTTATCGATTACCATTACAGGCAAAACAGACTCTATTTGGGGAAAACTAATTTAATTTGTTGCCAATTAAAAATAGAGTTGGATGGTGAGAAACAAAGACAAAACTAAAACACCTTCCCCCCACGCCCTTCTTCCCAGGCTCAACTTCACTCCTTCATTCTCAACGCCTCTTCCTCCTCCCCGACCCCAAGCAAGGCAGAGGGGACAAGGAATGAGTGGGGGGTTGTGGTCAGTCCATAACAGTTTCTCTCAGCTACTCCTTCCTCCTCACACTTTTCCCCTAGCTCTAGCATGGGTCCTCTCCACAGACTGCAGTTCTTCAAGAACTACTCCAGCAGTGGGTCCTTCCCACTGAAGAGCTGCCATCCATCAGGATAAACCTGCTCCTGCACTGGCTCCTCTCCATGGGCCATGGTTGCTGGCAGTAGAGCCTACTCCTCCACGGGCTGCAATTTCTTTCAGGAAATATCCTCCTCTCCACAGGCTGCAGGGAAACACCTACTCCACTGTGGTCTCTACCATGGGCTACAAGGAATATCTGCTCTGATGCCTGAAACACCTCCTTCCCCTCATTCTTCTTTTGACCTCAGTGTTTGCAGGACTGTTTCTCAC